GTTATACATATATACTATACATTCAATAAGGCAGAAGGAAGCATGAACAGATTATGAAAGATAAAAATATAAAAAAGAATTCAACATGAACTGTTAGAGATAAAAAGCATGATGTCTAAGATGAAAAGTGGATGGAATTAAAAATGTATGTAATTAAAAGGAATTATGAGACATTGCAAAAGAACAGTGAATTTAAAGATGTAGCAAATGGAAACTGCAAGATAAAACAGAGAATAAAAAGATTTTAAGAAAAAGGAGTATCAATGGGCTGTGGGATAACTTTAAACAGCTTAATATACAAGTAATTGGAGTTCCAGAAGGAGAGAACAAAAAACATTTGAAGAAATAATAGTTGAAAAATTTCCAAATGTGATAAACATTATCAACCCACAGATCCAACAAGCTCAATGAAGCTTAGGCACAAGAAACAGGAAGAGAATGACACCAAGCACATTATAATCAAATTGCTTAATATCAGCAATAAAGAGCAAATCTTAAAAGCAGTGCATTAGTTAGTTTTTGTCACTTAGAATACCTGAAACAGGGTAATTTATAAAGAGACAAAATTTATTTCTTACAGTTATGGAGGCTGGAAAGTCTGAGATCCAGGCAGCACATTTATTGAGGGTCTTCTTGGTGGGGACTCTCCGAAGAGTCTAGATGTGGCACAGAGTATTAAACAGTGAGATGGTAAGAGCATGTTAACATGCTTTCTTCCTCTTGTAAAGCCACTAGTCTGCTCCCATGATACCCCATTAATCCATTAATCTGTGTGGATTAATTCACTCATTTGGGCATAGCCCTTGTCATCCAATAGCCTCTTAAAGGCTTCACCTTTCAAATACTATAGTTGGATTTCTCACCCTTTTAATACTGATACAACGTGGATTAAATTTCAACATGAGATTTGGAGGGGACATTCAATCTATAGCAAGCAGCCAGAGAGAAAAGACACATTACAAATAGAAGAACAAAAATAAGAATAGCAAACCTCTTGTTGGAAACAATGTGTAAGCCATAAAATATTGGACAAAAATATTTAAAGTACTTAAACAAAACAAAACAAAACAAAACTGCCAATTTAGGATTCTATACCTTATGAAAATATTGTTTAAAAATGAAGGTGAAATAAAAAGATACAAAAGTTGGATGGATTAATCACTAGCAGACCAGCACTATTAAATGAAAACCTTCAGGCAAAAGGAAAGTGATGCTGGAAGAAAATCTGCACCTATTCAATGGGATAGAGAGCACTGAAAATGATAAATATGTAGGTAAGTATATAAAAAGACTTCTCATTATTCTTGGGCTTATGGTAATTAATAGAGAATATTTAGAGACTTCACCATCTTTTTATTCACCATTTATACTTCACCTATTTATCCATTGTTTTAAAAAATCTCTGAAAAGGAGAATTGCTTAAAGAAAAACTAATATGTTGTGGGGTTTATCATATAGGTAGATGTAAAGATCATAGAATGGGAGAGGGGAAAGTGAATATACTCTTGTAAGTTTCTTCTAGTATATGTGAAGGGGTATAATGTTACTTGAAGGCAGACTAAAAAGTTAAAGATGTATACTAAAACCCTAAAGTAAACAAAAACAAAACAAGACACAAGAATGTATAACAATAAACCAATAATGGAGATAAAATAGATTAATGAAATACACTCAGTTTAGCACAGAATAAGAAGAAAAAGGGAAGAGAAAACTGATGGCCCATAGAATAGAAAGATCAAGATGGCAGATTTAAATCCAACCTTATCTATCACATTTAATGTAAATAATTGAAACACCCTAATTAAAAGACAGAGATCATCAGAATGGATAAAATAAGTGAGACTCTACTGTATACTGTTTATAAGAAACCCACTTTGAGTATAAAAATCAAATGGATTAAAAGTGAAAGAATAGAAAGTAGCTATGCAAATTTCAGACAAAGTAGATTTCAGAGCAAAGAATATTAGGGATAAACAAAGATATTTCATAATGATAAAGGTGTCAATTCATCAAGAGGACATAACAATAATATACACTTATATGCCTAATAACAGAGCTTCAAAATATATGAAGCCAAAACTGACAGAACAGATAGGAAAAATAGATAAATTAACAACTATAAAGTTGGAGACTTCAACACCATTATTTCAATAACTGATTAACAAATATACAGAAAATCAGGAAGAATAGAGAAGATTTGAACAATTCTGTCAACCAACTAATTACCTATACTTCACCCAACAATAGCATAACACACATTCTTTTTAAGTGCACATGGAGTGTTTACCGAGATAGTTCATATTCTGGCCATTAAAAACAAGTCTCGGTAAATTCAAAAGGATTTGAAACATGCAAAGAATGTTCTCTATAAAAATGGAATCTAATTAGATATAAATAACAGAAAAATAAAATATTTCCAAATATTTGAAAACTAAACAGTGTAGTTATAAATAACTCATAGGTATAAGAAGAAAACAAAAGGAAAAATTTTAACTGAAGAAAATAAAAATAAAAAATTTCTAAATTTGTTGAATGCAGCTAAAGTAGTGGTTTCATGGAAATTTGTAGAATTATATGCATATATTAGAAAAGATGGGAGGTCTCAAATCAATGACCGAAGCTTCTACCTTAAGAAACTAGGAAAAGGAAAGATAAGCCCAAAGTAAACAGAGGAAAGGAAATAGTAAAGATTGGAGTGAAATAAAATGAATAGAAAACAGAAAATTAGAGAAAAATCAGTGAAACCTCAGTATGTGTCCTGAGAAATTAAAATTCTTTGGTGGGCTTTCTTGCTCATAAAATAAAAGTCTAAAATCTTTAACTTGGGTTCATGCCTGTACTTATCTCTCAGATCATATTTCTTTTTTATTTTCTATGCTGTGGCTATGCTTGCCTTTCAGATCTTTTGTTGTCGTCTCTACTGTCACATGACCTTTGCATATGCTGTTTTTTTCTGTTTTTCCCCACCCCAGCTGTCTCAATGATTTTGCCTCTTACCCATTTCCACCTAGTTAATACCTACTTACCCTTTAGATTTAGATTTGATATCCTAGTCTGGAACATATCCTACCCTAAACTGTAAACTACACTAGAACAGGAATTGCGTTTGGTTTTACCCAATCTTGTATCTTTAGCACTTAACACATGACTCTCATGGTGGATACTCAGCAAATATTTGTTGAATGAATGAATAAAATCTAATAATGGGCCCATTTTCTTAGGATATAACCAGTTCAAACATCTCTGCTTTTCTGCATCTCATAAATCAGTATCTTGAGAATTGAAAGATCATTATTCTTGGGCTTATGGTAATTAAGAGAGAATATTTAGAGACTTCACCATCTTTTTATTCACCATTTATACTTCACCTATTTATCCATTGCTTTGTGAAGATCTGCCAGAGAGTCAAGTTCATTTTGTCTTCTGATATATTACTCTAATGCTGTAGAGTTTCATCATTGTACTGTTTCGTTTGCTTTATTTTATTTATCCATACTAAAGAAACTTGGCACAACTTTTGCCTAATGGACTACTTAGAAATAATTGTAAGTTGGAGGAATTTAAGAACATCCCATGGGCAGATATTTTACTTTGTAGTTTTAAAGATATATCAATGTCCGAAGAGTGAAATCAATGTGAAGTGAAATCAACCCTGATTTCAGGAATTACACAAAAAGATAAGAGAACTAGTACTGTTTGAGTTTTTGTATCCCAGACATTGGCTCATATGTGTTAGATTTTTTATTCCTCACAACTCTATGAGGTTGTAATTAATATTATTTTAATAGACAAACTTTTAGTGATTTGCTCAAAATCTCAGAGTTAAGATGGTGTCAAAGTTCAAACCTAATTCTGATGCCAAAATCCGTACTTTTTCCACTGCCACCTCCTCTCAAACATGTAAACTAGTAAAAAATGTTGTCATTCTAAGGACCACGTGTTTAGGTCCTAATGAAACAGTAGCTAACAATGGCCAGCAATTATTTCACTTTGCCTGACTGTGACACAGTCAGTTAAATGATTTCTCTAAACTAAAATTGCGATCAACTTATTCACAGATAACACCCTAGTAAGAAAAAGAAGGTAGAGGCAAGATTTTATCTAATAACAACTTAATTCTTATGTAAAATGCAAATTTTCTATAACATAAGTTATANTTTTATCTAATAACAACTTAATTCTTATGTAAAATGCAAATTTTCTATAACATAAGTTATATGAAAACACAGCAGTGGGAAATTAGCATAAAATGTAGGTATTTAAGATAGTTTTATTAAGTTAAAAAATGCTCACTATAATTTAATAGTTTAGTCATCCACTATGAAAATTGAAGAATTGGTTAGCTGAAGAGTTAAATCCTGGCTTAAGTTTAAACATAAACATTACTGAATAGGGTATACTTCATGCTGTTGATATAGAAGCCAAGAACAGGCTGGGAGAGAGAGAGTAGTCCAAAGAAATGGACTGATGGTATAAGCAGAGAAGCAGCTCAGGGATCCAGGAAATAGAATAATGAGGACAGTACATGATGAACGCTTCCTTTTGCAATTGATGTTATTCTTGCCCTTTGGGACTTTCAAGTCTCTCTTGAGGAAAAGGAAAGAAGAGGTAGTCCAGACATCAGAGAGCGGGTATAAAGAATCCCATGTAGGAAGAGCTTTAGGGAAATTTTAAAGGTGTGGTTTGAGTTTGAGGGTATTAGAGTGGGATGAATATGTCGATAATTGGATTAATTTGGTTTATTAGTTAAGGGAGTCTGGGAGATAAAGAGAATGAGGAAAATGATATATAAAGTGAGAAAAATCTCATGTGATTTTGTGCGGGTTGGATAGATTGTAAATCTTCATCCATAGATGAAAATACTTAATATTGTTAGGACATATGGAAGTGAAAATAAGAATGAAACCCTCAAAAAAAAAAAAAACCCTTAGAGACACTTAATTTTTAGGTAAGTTTCAGCTTGTTGCTGGAGCTATGAAGTAAGACATTTGATTCTTTAGCAGGTAGGAAACCATGTGAAAGAATCTTCTGATGTCATAATTTCTGGGTGTCACTGGAACCTTTGGTCATCATTCCTTCGGCAATTCCAGCCTTCTATAGAAGGCCAATAGAAGCAGTTGATTTATTCACCTCTGCAGGAATCAGACTCAGCCTATTTTGGTAAGTCTATGTATCCTTGATCAAGTTAGCTAAAACTTTATACCTACACGGATAGATAGATATACACCTGCTAAACCATAAAGTTTACTATAGTTTTACTAAGTTGTCATTGAGAAAAATGCTTTTTCTCTTGGTGATTGAAAGAGTCTATAAAAATCATTATATAATATTCAGATTCTTAAAACTTAGTAATTTAATTTTATTATTACTACCAATAAACCTTTACTTATGAGGCACAGAGTAAACGACTAGGCATAAGAAAGTTTTAAGACTTTTTTCATTTTTCCTATTGTTTGTGGGCTAGTAGTTGAAGACATGCAAATTCATTCAAAATAGTGTTATGAAATGCCCACTGTGTGTCAAGCACTCTTCTAGGTATTAAGGGTTTAGTGGTGACAAAGACACACATGGAATTGGGGGAGGATATTAAATAAAACATTTACAAAAAATTAGGGCAGTGTTTCTCAACAGGGGGCAATTTTGCCTCTCTCCCCCACCTGGGGACTTTTGGTGATGTCTGCAGACATTTTTGACTGTAATTTTGGGGGAGGGGTGCTGTTGGCATCTAGTAGGTGGAGGCCTTGGATGCTGTAAAACATCCTACAGTATATCAGACAGTCTCCCCCTGCCCCCACTAAGAATTATCTGGTCCTAAATGTCAATAGTGCCATAGTTGAAAAACTCTGAATTAGAATGGTAATAACTGTTACAAAGCGGAAATAAAGGGTGCTATGAAAACTTAGGTAATAGGGGTTAGGGCTTCTCTGAGAAAATGAAATGTAAATTCAGACTTAGGGGTGAGTTGGCCCTAGCAAGTGAAGGGTGGGAGCAGTGGGGTGGGGGAGGGTCCCAAGCAGAGGCAAGAGTAGGTAGTAAGGAGTTTATTTGTACAAGAGGTCTTCAGAAAGTTCATGGAAAGATTTGTGTTACCTTTTAATTCTATTTTTCCACAAAATTTTTGAGGTACCCTTGTGTGTGTGTGTGCGCGCGTGTGT